CTCATTGTGTAGCTTTGTGCTTAATTCCAAACAAACAATTCTGTAAATTCGAACAAATTCAGAAATATAACTTGCAAACCAACAATTTTTTATGCTTAATTATGCAAACAAATATTTAATGTTTTGTGGTTAGAAATAAGAAAAATATTTTAATGGCATCTATATAAATTAACTTTAAAGCTGAAATAATTATTGTTTTACTTAAGTATATTTTTCTATAAAACAATCTAATGTTTTTAATCAAATTTTTTTGTTTAAAGAACATGAGGCTAATTGCTCATATAAGTTAACAAGTTGTGATCAAATTTCTGTTTTTCATTTGAAATGTTTTTCAAAAAGGGAAACGTCTCAGTTAAAACACTTAGGTAACATTAACAACACTATGAAAATTATTTTGGTAACAGAATACAATGAATGGAATATTCTAAAATCATTAAACCTCTTTTACGCACATTCGCTATTTTCCTTCTCCCTCATTTTTCTTCATCACAAATAAAATATGTCATTATATGAATTTTTTATATCGGTTATTTAACTTGCAATAATTAAAACAAATACAACCAACTTTCTAGACTTTGTTAATTATAGTGCTGGCAAAACACATGTGGATTATTTTATATTGAAAATTTACAATTAAAGTAACAGGGTAGACGTACAGACAGGCAGATAGATAAACTTTCCTGAAGAGTGCCACAAAGCTTGTCGTATGAACAGTCTCCTTGTGTGTGTTCTGCCTTATCTATGGATTTGTGCCACATGTATCTGCGAGAACGTTTTAGATCCCACTCAGGATTTCTGAACAAAATGGATATTCCCATCTACACTTGGACTTTTTCTATTTATCTTTAGTGATAAATTAGCTGCAAGGTTTCATGAATCTGTTTTTATCTTCTTTTTTCCCATCATCTAATAAAGTTTGGGAAACATATAACAAAACACATAACTGACAAATCACCAATAGATATAATATATAAGAGAGAACTTTCAAGTATTTAATCTTTGATTTTCTTCTAGAAGGAATTCAATTCACCGACGGCTAAGCGACTTCCGATGTTTTATTATAGGTCAATGATCTTGAACAATGTGCAATACAGAGGAGCATTTATGTGGAGAAACCGCAATGATTGCTGTATAGATTCTGTTGATTGCTATCAACAACAGTTCCCATAAGGTGAAAGAATCATAAAAAGAAGGCACTTACATTCCATAAGTCTTGAATATAATAATAATATTATGTCTATTCTTTGTAAATAAATAAAACTTTTCTCTATTTGTGTATGGTAGTCTTGGTGTCTTACACTGAAACCACAAGTGGACTATAGAAGAAACGAAAATAATGTAGTACAGAGAGTGTCATCCCCCAGACTCCCTTTTTCACCACTCCTGATGTTTCACTCACATATATTATCCTGATGTTTCTCTGTTTTAGTTTAAAGATAACTAGCATGAAATACCCACAATCTGCTGTGGGTCTCAAATGCCCCCCCCCCCATAATTCACAGAGGCCCCAATGCACCGATTATCTCCTCTATTATCCTCAATTGCGTCTGTAGCTACCACAAACAAGGTCCTTATCCGAAAACAGATCCTGTAAGGACATCCGCCCGTGGTACTTTAGCATGTTTGGCACGTTTGGTCCAGCTAAATTGTGAGTCTGGATATGAACACACTTTCAAACATGGCGCCTCAAGGATCGTGAGGAATAGAAAATCCGATGTCAGATTCAGGATCAGCGACCCATTAAAGTTATATCTAGAATCTATCGTGCCTGGGCGACTTTCCGTGTGCATTTTAGCTCCCTTGGTAGGGTACTACACCATGTAGATAAAGACACACACACACCTTCGAGCCACCCCTAGTCCGCCTGCCGAGCCTGGTTTTTCTAGTTCTAAAACTGTGGTAGGAGTTCGCAGAAAAGAAACAAACACACAACGTGAATTAATATATGATATAAACAATATATATATATATATAAAACATAACTGAGGAGTTCAAAAATATCTCTAAAATATAAACATATGTCTTTATTAACGAATTGTAATTTCACAACAACGTAAAATTAAAAAGATCTCCCTGTCTATATGCTAAACTTCTTATTTTCAAACTCCTATAACACGTTTTAAGCTTGAAACTGATAATACTAAGCTATATGTAAGTTGATTATGTTTTTATAAAAGCTAGAAAGAATGCTCGGTAGTGGTC